ATTTGATTTTGATTGTATTCACACAGATACATATGGCATGTGACAATAATTGTTACATATATAATATATTTTGTTGAAAAAAAAAATACATACATATAAGAAAATCATGTTTTATATTTAATTATATTACACAAATGTTTATTACGATCTTCTAAAAAGTAAAAAAAGAACCGTTTAATTTTTATGAGGATGAATAATAAGTATTGAAGTGATTTTTGATTGCTTTGTAACAGTGCTGAATATTAGTTCAACTTTTAGCCGATTTTTCTGGTCACTTATTTTTATTCTTTTATCGCGCGTGTCATAATAATCAGGGTCAATGCCGCATACTGCAAAATTTTTAATTTTACATGTAACTAAATAATCAGTAGGTGTGTGTATAATCGTCTCGAGCAATGTGCAGAGCATTGTAAATTACAAAATAATTTTTCATTACACAATATAAAATCTAACAAAATAATTTTATTGTAGAAGTTTGTGAATGCAATTGTTATTTGCATATTTCTGTTACATAGATTTTGTTCGAATAAGAAATTTTACCATGAAATGCGAACTGATTCGATCTCTTGAGATCCAAATTGTTGTCCGATCACTTAACTACTAGTCTTGGATTTTATTTTTATTTACTTTTTATTTTAAATATTGTATTAAATATTGCTTTAAATATTGTTTTATTTATTTTTCAATTTTGTATGAGTTATTGAAATAATTATAACTAAATATGTACTTATATTTTATTATAAAAATATGTATTACTTGTTTATTTATTTACATCTGTTCCATGTTAATGAGACGGCAAAGATTGTTTTCTTATACTCAAACAATCAAAAATTACTATAAATTGTAATAAATTTGAAACATTATATATTTACTCTATTTCAATATAAATACCAACTTTATAAATTTAAGATATTTAAAATTATAGTCATCAAGTAATTAGCAACAGAATGGTAGAATATGAAAATCATACCGATAATTTCTAGTATTGCAAAGAAAAATGAAGGGAATGACGATAACGATGGTGGCGCATCTAAAGTAGAAATGAGGTGAATAAAATAGGAAAAGAAATAATTATATTTCTGCAAAAAGTGTATCAAATACATTATTTTTTATATGTTGCAGTATCAATAAATTTAAAAAACCACATATTTCTTCGATATAGACATTTTTATACATAATAGAATATTAATTAAAAGTTATAAATTCCTTTAAGCACAACTTCTATATTATTTTAAAAATATGATTTATCTGTATTACAGATTTGCTGGAATGCCTCTTCTTCTTCTTTTCCCTCTTTTTCGCTCGCGAAATTGTTATATTACCATACATTCGCATCAAATCCTACCGCCTCTCTTGCTAACTGTTAGGTAGGTTTGAACGTTGTCAATATTTACGTTTAAATAGAAAAACTATACGTCGCTTTTCTCAACCACTTTCATCAGGCACTTTTCGACGAAATAATGTTCGCATCGTCTTCAGTTGAACGCGTTCTATCGTACAGATCAAACACAATGTCTTGGCAATTAGCAACTGAAGACTTCCCCTGGGTAGAAGAAAACTATGTAAAAAAGGAATTCAACCACAATTTTCAAGTGAAATGTAAAGATTGCAAACAAGATATTAAATACGCGAACGTTGATGCGTTTAAGAAACACATACTTAATAGGCATCAATATGAACTTAACATGGAACGCAAAATGCAACGTAAGCATGGTATGTGGAAATATTTTAACCTAACAAAGGAAGGTAAAACAAGATGTATTGTATGTAAAAAAGCGCATAGTGGAGAAACGTCAAACTATTCCTTAAAACATCACTTATCGAAAGATCATGAGAAGGAAGATCTAAAGCCCTATGAATCACAAGATTTGTTTTGGAAATACATCGACGCAGAAGAAGTTACTAATTTTTACGGAAAATGTACGCTCTGTGACCAAAAAATGATGCTTGAGCTTGTGCCGACTCAGTTATTAAATCATCTCGTAGTACATGATATAAAAGTAAACACTAAATGTAGTAAACCTAAACAAGACGCACAGTTTTGGAAATATCAAAGTAAAAAGTTGCGGTGGTTGGATAAATTTTATACAAAAGCTGAAGAGGATTTTCAAGCAAAATGTAAGATTTGTGAAAAGAATTTTATATATATTTACACTCGCACGATTGAAAAACACATTCAGAAGCATAAAGAAATTTGCGATTATGAAGAATATATGAAGGCGCCGGAACAAGAACAAATAGGCTGGAAGGGTATGAGGTTCATAGATGATAATGCAAGTGAAATAGTATGTATGGTATGTCATGCAATTCTGCCAGATAAATCCTTCATAAACAACCATGAAATACATGATATGAAAAAGCTGTACCCCCGTAGAATTTATTGGGGACTTAAATATATGAAACAACTTGGAAATTTGGCGAAATGTACGATTTGCGAAGAAGATGTAAAACTTAAGTGGGATGCGGTCAATTTAAAAAATCACGTATCAGAGAAACATGATGAGGATTGTGATGGAATATAAGAAGAATTGAAACAAGGAACAGCATACGATTAAGTAGGAACGTCCACAAGCCACGCAGACTAAAAGAAAAATGAACGTGAGTTTCATTCATATTTTTTATTAATTATTATTGTTATGACATTATATTTATTATTACATTTTATTCTTTGAGTGGCGTTTTTAATAAAAACAACAAAAATCAAGTCATCAATATTTGTTTCTGATATCTTATATATGTTTATATAGGTTTATCTTCATAGAGTTTGACAATTGGAAATGATGGTAGTGACACTTTTAAGTAGCATCTCATGGCCAGCTATAACGACAATCTTGATTTTGACAAGTGATTTGAAACATATAAAGGCATTAGCGTATTTTGACTTATGTATCGCATATTCGTTTTGTATTTATATAAATGTACACAATTTGTTAACTTAAATATATATATTTATAAATTTATAATTTAACACAATAAGTTAAATTTATAAAATTATAAATTATAGTTATTAATCTGAAACATAATATTCTTTCAATTATGCTTCAAAGAATACGTGTTTGTACATTTATAAAAACTAAACCGATTTCGTGAATATAATAAACTTTTGCTATAGTGACGAATCTTCGAGTGACGTACTCACAGGGCTGGGCAAACACATTTGAAATACAAAATACAAAATACTAACAATTTTAGTATTTATTGCAAAATATCTTCAATTTTTTTATTTAAAATATAAAATTTTTGTATTTTAAATCAAAAATTAAAATTAAAAGTATTTTGTATTTTATAATTTAAATACCAAGATTGTGTTAGCATTGTACATTTTGTATTTCAAATATTTTATTGTATTTGAAATACAATTTGAAATACATTTTGCCCAGCCCTGCGTACTCAGTACATATATAATAAGAATAATAAAAATCAGATAATTAGTAGTTTCTCGAAATGTATCGAATCGTAACTTAAAATAGATACAATGTTTATATCACTCGATATTTGAAGAATGAACCGTTTGATATTATATATTTTGCAATTCGACATAAAAGTATTACTTTTTTGCACAATATTTTCATGAAAAAAGTAGATATCAGAATCCTTAGCAAATTACTAACACGACTACATTAAAAAAGAATTGGAGGATTACGTATTTCGCAGTTGGGAATAGAAGTATTGCTTTTTTATGCATAAGAAGACAGTATTTCCAAATCCATGTACGAAATGTATATTCCTAGTAGTTCTTTTTTACAATGCTTGCGTAAATAATTTTTGAAGAGTTCGGACGTCTACATTTTATATGACTTTATGAAATGATTTTGAATAATCATGTAAATAATGATGTAAAAAGTAAAAATTTGAATATATTGGTAAATGCGCAAGAAACAAACATAATATCTATGTTATTAAAGATCATAACTAAAGAGCTATGATAATTTTGTACATAATTACCGAATATTCGAACAAATGTATATCTTGCGAAAATAAATATTATTACATTAAATTTTTTAATATTTGTAAACATGTAGAAAAAAGCATACACAAATTTGTAAATATGAAGAGAAGAGAAAAGTACGATTACCACCGTGGAAATATGTTATCTATTTAAACAGATTATGTTTTTGCAATATATTATCTATGCATATGTTCCGTTTAAACTTGAATCTCTAGTAAATAATGTATCAATACTTTAAAGTATTACAAAAATGTAAAAGACTGTATTATTTTATTATTTTAATGTTATGCTTATTTAAAAATTCTTTGATCTCATGATTAATATTGTCTTAAAGTAGTATAAGCGTGTAGAAGATTATATTATTTCATTATTTTAATGTTAAATTTATTTAACAATTTCTCGTTTGCGAATTTAATGTTATCTCTAAAATAATTCAAGCTTGTAGCAGATTGTATCATTTTATCATTTTAATGTTATTCTTATTTAAAAATTTTTTAACCATGAAATTAATGTTGTATCTAAAGTATTATAAATAAAAGATTGTATATTTTATTACTTTAAATGTTACGCTTATTTAAAAATTTATTTAATTTTTCACGAATATAATATTATTGTTTGCGCGATAAATTGAGATTTTGGCATATAGAATCCACGATATGGATCGGCCAGTGGCGATGATTCATTCTGGATGTATTTTTCCTCGAAGTATAGCTGGAGAATCCTTTCGTTATAGAATTCGTTGAATTTTTACAAGTGTAATTCTAATTTTAGAATCTGATACATCCATCCCCAAAACTGTCTACTCCTCTCGAGAGGAATCGTACGATAAAAGTTTATCCATTACGAGAGTTTATAGTCATCGCCAAAACGAGTCGAAAATAACGCTGTCTCAAAGCGAAATCAAGTTAGAACTTTAATCTTTTACTGACTTAAGTTGTTTTATTTGCCTTTTTGTTAAGTGGAAAAAATGACTTCTGTCTTAATTTGTTATTGTTAATGCACATTTGGGAAGTTTTAATTTTAAAACAGTGAAATCTATACAAGTTGTTAATGTATAGCTCTTATTTAGTGAACCAAATCGAAATAATCGTGTTAATGGAATAAATGCAATGAAATAACATAACATTAATATTGATATCGATGTTGGCTATTAAACTCTCTAATTTACTGTTTAATTAATTATATTAATTTCAAATTCGATAGATCAATTGTCATAATCGGCGTGCGTTTACAATAATAATAATTTTTTCCATTATTTCAAAAGTTAAAAATACTCTTGATTCGTAGTTTCAATAATCAAAACGTCATTTGTCATGTTATATGTAAGAATTATTATCCTGCCGCTAGAATAACAAAAATGACATAATTGAAGAAGACATGGACTTGACGTGGACGAGAAGAAATACCCTGTTACGCTCTCGTTTCGTATTACTCGAGATCGCTAGATCGGTGGGCGTCGATCACTCGGATCCCTTACATGTAACTCGACACTTATTTTTTTTTCTCGCTGACCAATGCGTGAAGTCTTCTTTGGTTAAAATTTTATTCATTCTTGCAACTTGTTTGTATTTTTTACAAGATTTCTTAAAATAAATTTCTGTAACACAAAAAAGTCTTTTGTCATGAAAAATCTCTATAAAAACGCGGAAGTATCTTTTAATATAATCTGAAACTTTTAGCATTGCGTTTGTGTAGAGTTTGAAATAAGTTATATTTTATTGTATCCTTTTTTTATTTAACTTAAATAATTTTTTATTACATTTTTTATTACATTTTTTATTATTTATGCAAACTGCACGTCGATGCCTTAACTCGAAAATGTAGCTAAAAATAACGAGAAAAATGAGACATGTCGCTTTTCCAATGAGACCGGATTCTTCCTGGCGCCGGCGGCAAACGCTCGTTGCCGATTTTCTCGCTCTTTCTTTGCGTTTACGATTTACGAGATCCTTCGACATTCCTCCTCCGACGACGTGGAGGAAGCGAGGACAATCGTTCGACGTAGGTAGCTGAAAAACTTTGCCCTCATGTGCAAGCACTTGAGTGCCTTTTTATAAGCGTCTCTTTTCGTATTTCACACTTGCATCAAACGCCGATTTGTCTCCTCCTCTCTTCCTTCTATATTCCCTTAGCAAATTGTCATAGAGTTGCCAATCTTAATCTTCTTAATTTTATTTTGCACACATAAGAGGAAAAGAAGAGAATGACAAAATATATATTTTTATTTTCTAAATATTAACAAATATATTTTAATGAATAGAAAAATGTTAAAATTTTATTTATTGTCTCAAAAGTATCTCTTGCTTTTAACACAATTATATTTGGAGAGTCGTGCTTTCACGTGATATTTCATGAAAAATCTTACATGCAGTGAAGTTTGGAGCAGAAAAACATCTTCATATGCGCGCCAGATACTTTTTTTGTCGCCAGAATACAGAATCTCTTCTCCTTGCATTTCGTATGTTGAGAAGTGTGTGGGATCGACGGAGACTTTGACTTCATTGTCGTAGCGCCTCCGGTTACATTTTATTGTAGGGCGATGACGGTGTTCGACGCGTGCTAGTCCTGGCTGGATGTTGCCGAAAAGGAATATCTTTCGGCACCCTCTTGCCACATAGACGTACCCGGAGTGTCCAGAGAAACCGGCGCCAAGTCGCTGTACTGTTTTATCCCAAATGATCCGAGATCGTTTCGCACACGTTCCGACAGGACTCATGTTGTCGAAATCGGAGAACACGCGACGGAAGTAAGTCGCGACACTACAATGTCTTCCGCTTTTCTTTCTTCGAAATTGCGCATTTTTCAGGAAATCAGGGATTCTTTGACTTGATTCAAGGATATTTTGTTAGGAAATTGTCTTGTATCATCTTTGATTAATTTAGTCCATTTGTCTAATTTTTTAATACATTTGTCGTACAGATATAAATGATAAATGCATATATAATATAAATTTTGAAGAAATTTAATTAATTGCAAGGAATCTTAAGTATCGTTAATTTTTCTCTGATATTTCTTATTTAAATCAAAAGATTGAAAATTTTATTTTGTTAATTGTAGAGTGATTTCCTTCATTAATAAATTAAAAATATATAAAATTATCACAAACAGGCTCTGAATAATTAAGATATTAATAATAAAATAGGGAAAGAGTCGTGTAATGTTAATGCTTTTTGTCCATTGTCTTTATTCAATTAAATAATAAACGTTTTGGTCCCAAAGTGGACCATATTCAATACAACAACGGACAGATCCGTAATTAATATAGTCAGAAATAAAACTGACAATGTGATCGGTTCCACATCATGTATGTTAAAATATTTTGTGCTTTAATGACTTAGTGATTCCGCACTCCGCAGTTAACTTTTCAACAAGTTTCACTCAGTTTAAAGCACAAAATATTTTAACTTACATGAATTGATCTCAGTTTTATTTCTAACTATCTTAATTACGGACAATCTCTCCACTGTTGTATTGAAGATGGTCCAATTTGGGACCGAAACGGTTACTATTTCATTGAAAACAATGAACAAAAAGCATCGTTTTATGACTCTCCTTCCCCCCATTTCATTATTATTGTTTTAAAAATATATATTAGTTCCATAAATTATATTTATATTATATAAAATTTACTTATATAAATTACATTGTTCTATATACCAGAAACAGAATCATAAAATAAAGAATAAACTGAAATTGAGACGTTCATTTTATTCTATTTTAGCTTAATTATGATAAATCAACTACGTCTATAATACTAAACGTCTATACTATCTAAATATTTGTCACCGAAGTATAATGCTTTCCCGCTGATTCGTTTACGCATCTCATTGTGCATGCTAATGGCGCGTGAAAAAAAAGCCAACCAAAGCGCAGGAAAGAATAGATAAATGTTTTCCTCCGGCAGCAGCGGGCAGCAGCGGGCAGCAGTAAACGTTTTCATTGCGGAAAAGCAACGAACGCGCAGATGTCGACCACTTGCTGCCCCGAGGATAATGATCCGGGTGAAATCTATTCCCTCTATTTGTCGCCATGGGGTGCCGCAATGCATACTTTGTGCCCCACACTCGACACAAGCCCTCTCCAATTTACGTAACAACGTGACACGCCGCCGATTCTTTCGTAATTACGAAATGCATTTAGATATGGACGTGCACACAACTTCAAATGTGCAGTCCGATCGATTGTGATTGTGTGCTAATCCTTTAACGAAACGATAGAATATACCGGTGTTTTAATGTAATAACAAGAAAGATATTCCTATAATTAAGATAGATTCATTAAATTAAATTTGTCATTTGTTATTATAAATTTAATCAGTGAGCAAAAGTCTAGGCAAATTTTGTTGGATGAATTAGTGTCAGTTTAAAATTAATTAAACTGATAAAAATCTTTTAGCTGTAAGTAAAACAAATTAAATTAATTTTTGTGAAACTATCTTTTTTTTTAACTAGATTAAATAACTTTTGGGCTTAATAATTTTTGCGGATTTTCAGAAACTGCGCTATTAAAATTAAATGTACGCGAAAGGTTCTTCGTGCTGAGAGACTTCGAATAGCAAACTTTTGTTCGGAGATTTATTTGTTTATATAAAATATAAAAAATCACAAGATTGAAATATCTTTAATTGTTATTAAAGTTTTAATAAATACATTTATTTTTTTAATTAGAACTGAATAATTAAAAGAATCTCTCTCTTTCTCAGCACGAAAAACCTTTCGCGTACATTTAACTTTAATAGTGCAGTTCCTGAAAATTCGCATTTCTCTTTCCCACGGCAGTGAATGTGTCCCCGAGGTGTTTTTCGCACGTGTCGCGACTGCATTAACACCAACCCTTCGTGCGCTAATAATATCATTAAATTCCCACATATAGTACGATGTATTTTTCCTTCTTTCAGCGTTTCAGAGCACTTAATCGCGATTTCGAGCATCGATTTCTAGAGTCTCTCTTTCGTTGAATGACAACAATCTTCTCCGAAAAGTGGATAACAGGCAAATTTCCCAGTCTTACTCGTGGTATCGATTACTTCCGTTCACGCACAGACTCTGCATTGTTTTCTCGGCTTACTTATGGCCGTTAAGTCGCTCACTTCTCACTCAAAGGGTGCAATATGTGTGTCCGCATCTCTGAAGGAAAAAAATGTCAGCGTAAAAGTGGCCTAAATAAATAATGACACGGATTATTGGTAATAAACTTTACTTTGCCGTCATTCTGCTCTTCTGTTCGAAGCAGCGAACTCATGATAAATTTTCACTTGCAAACATTAAAATAGCTTAGCCTAACTTGGCTTGTCAAATTATTAAAATAGTTCGGTGGTACGAAGATCAAGTACGCTGACTTTTTACGCTGACTTTTCCTTTCCTTCACGATGGGGACACACATATTGCATCCTATGTGTATGTACAAAGCAGGCGAATTAACATAAAAATAAGTCGAGAAAAACAATGCAGAGTCTGTGCGTGTTCCATGGAGGTAATCGATACCGCGAGCAAGACCGGGAAAACTTTGCCTGTTGTTCACTTTTCGGCCGCGTTACATGTACTTCGACGCGTATGAGTACAACGTATGGGAAGCAAGTTTTTACGCTGGTTTACATCGACTGATTTTTGCGACTGTAATCGGCTGGATCATCTTCTGCTGTGAAAACAATTACGCAGGTATTATCGATCACGTGGGTGCCCGCGAGATAATCAGGAGTAGATTGTTGTCATTCGACGAAAGAGACTCTAGAAATCGATGCTCGGAATCGCGATTAAGTGCTCTTAAACGCCGAAGGAAGAAAAGTACATTGCACTATATGTAGAAATTTCCTTGATAATTTATGTATAACGTACCTAACGTACATTGTCGAGTTTATTTTCGTGATTTTTTTCAGTATCGTCAATTTCCTGATAAACGCTGCATTCACTATCGCAACTAATGTCGTGTATACTATCGCAACTAATGTCGTGTATACTATCGCAACTAACGTCGTTAACACTAACGCAATTAACGTCGGATTGTTCAGTTTTAACATCGTCGCATGTAATCGACGATTCGTCGGACATTTTCTCGTTCGATTGAAAGATTTCCTTGTCTTCATTGCCGCATTCTATAGAGTCAACATTCGGCTTGTCCGTCGTTGTCGATTTTCTTTTTTGTTTACACCCGGAGAACTGTTTCCAGATGATGGAGTAGATGGACTGGAAAGGCATCTCTAAGCAAAGGCTGACGGGTACGGACGTCACAAATGTTAACACCACAATAGTGATGTATTTGTACCACTGACAAATGAGAACATTAATTAGTATCTTGTTTTTATTATTCGTGAACTTTGAATCTCATAATTTAATTAATATTAAATGCATCAAGAAAATTATCGGAAAAAAAATATTAAGAATAGAAAAACCATGTGCAAATAGTGATGTTACAATATACTTTCAAAATTTGCACTATTCCACCGTGTTTAACTTTTTTCTATTTAATACTAAATGAATGAATTTCATAGAGATTCGTGTTTAATAATTAAACATTTTTAATTACTATTAGATGTCACATTTTTCATATTGAGTGAATTATTTGGAATATTAAGTGTCATTTAATGATAGATCCGCTCTTGTTACAGCCGCTAAGACGTTTTTAGAACATTGTTGTTTTCTTCTTACCATATCTTTGGTTGTTAGATTGCCAGCAGTTCGAACGCTTCCGACATCGTAAAATATAAATATATAATGAAGAAGATAAGCGCAGAAGCAGAGTTTGCTCAACGGAATCCATAGGCGGCAAGAAAGGATGTGTTTTATAAAACCTTGAAAAAAAACGAACATTAGTTAATAGAGCGTCGGTGCGTGCATCGATATTGACATAAACCAGTTTAGTGATTATCTCGCGGGCACCCACGTGATCGATAATTACCTGCGTGATTGTTCTCACAACAGAAGATGATCCAGCCGATTACAGTCGCAAAAATCAGTCGATGTAAACCAGCGTAAAAACTTGCTTCCCATACGTTGTACTCATACGTATCGAAGTACATGTAACGCGGCCAAAAAACGACCAATAGAAAGGATGGAATAGCGATTAGCCAGCCGATAATCACCTGCCACTATATATGAAAGACATAACGATTTTGTAACAGCATTTTCAAAAGTGAAAGTAGCAAGAATTATTAAGGTGGTTCGAGCGTAAATTAATTTTCTTAAGAAATTATTCAAATTTATACCATTTGCATTTAGAGGCTTCATAAATATAATTTCACAATTTCAACGATATTGACTTATTAATTACTGAGATATAACTTTTACACAGAGTCTGCAATTTTTAAACTTTTAAACACTTCATAACGTCTAAATAAAATCAAACTTTCCGAGAAATTATAACGGTTGCTCACGCTATTGACAGCATTTACTTACTGAGATCGACTGTCGCAAGCAAATTAAACTTGCTGGGTCACTCTCAGGTCTGTTTACACTGATGTTGACATCAACTCTCACAATAAATACCGCAAGTTTGTCGCTAGTGGATAGAAGACTTTATGACAAAAGTCGATGTTATGTTTAATTATGTGCTGCAATAAAAAAACTATTCTTACGGTTTTGATAAGAAACTAGTTAATACTAAATAAATTCATAATAAAGCTTCTTAAAAAAAAACAATAATTTACTTGTTAATTATTGAGAAATTAAAGTTTGAAATTTGAAGATTTTTATTACATCACTTAGTGACGAAGCACTAATATAATAAGACAATATTGCATTATTGTGACGTATGAGATTAATGTTAATCCATTTTCTGTTTCACTTTTGTCGACATATTTTACATTTAATAATAAAGAAAATTACAATTACGAATAGAATAGAATAATCTCAACACTTCAGATTAGAAATTCATAAATATAAATCAATACATTGTCATATTCATGACAATGCATAATATATAGTTTAATACCCATATCAAACTGTAGCATTTCGGACAAATCATAGCTAAAAGTTTCGTGTGTATGAATAAGAATTTCTCAATCTATTATCTCTTTACAAAAGCATTACTTTTAGTCAATACTGTCACGTTCGAACCACCTTAATATAAAAAATTCATTATTATTATCAAAATTCAATATAAAAAATTACAATTTTGTTGCAAGTGCATGGCAAATATCTGTTTTTCGAATATTACACACAAACACACATACACAATAAAAATATAAATGCTGAATATACATATAATAATATAAGTGGAACACTTACGATAGGCAGTTTGACGTTGCCACGCGTTTCATATAATATGCGTCCTAGAAAATAACCAATGACGTAGGGTCCAAATCTAGTGTATACATGTATGTAGATTTTTAGATAAACATTGGCCACGTCGTCTATCGGTCTATGAAATACAATAATATATATATAATATATGTGTATATAATAATACATATGTGTAATAATATGTAATACAAAATATAATAACATCCTATTGAGATCACGAAAAAAATTAAATTACTGAAAATTTTGTGCACTTTATATGCATAAAAATAAACACAATTGACACGCAATAAGTAAAGTTGCATGCTCTTTCATAATTGCTTGATAATTAATTTATAAAGGCGTTTGCAGTATCAAAACTTTTGATGAATTTTATACAGATATATAATTCAACCTTTAACTACTACCATGAAATTGATACCCGTAATTTCTGACGCTCATAAAAGTTTGCTAAAAATAATTAACTAAAATAAAAATAGCTTTTCAAAAACAATTTTATTTGTTTAAAGAACATAAAATTAAACAATAGGAATTTTAAAAGAACTTGCAGAAATAATAATAGTTCAGAAAACAAAAGTATAAAATAAGCATTGCGCGTGAGAATTAATCAAAATATCAAGGGATCATCTGTGATCCATGGTAGTGGTCAAAGATCGAGACAAAAAAAATATATATAATAAAAAATTTATGCGATAAATACATGAAACAATTAAATGAAAAATAGATTAAAATATGATAATCGAAAGAGAAAAAATTTTTAGTAAAATAATAAAAATACAATTGAAAGTTTCTACTCACTCCTTGTAATAAAGCATGGTACCCGTTAATTGATTAACGAAGGTTATAAAGAAGTTTATAAAAAACGATGATAATAAAAGGATGCCAGTGACAATGTAGAAATAGCGTTTCCGCATACAAAAGAAAAAAAGCGGCGACAACCAAGTAAGCTGCATATCCAATGACAGGTACCAAGATTGGCTCATGCACTAAAAAAGCAGACAATAAGAAAAGGTTAAATTAAAAAAGCGCAATATAGTGTTTGCATAAGTGTTAGTAAACGCAAACGAGAAAATATTAAATAGAATAATAAAATAATCGGATTATTACAACAACAACAAAATATATAGCGTTTACAAGCTTTAAAGAATCACATATTCTACAATTCTTTGACTATGATATAGAATTATCATCGACTATTGTTCACGCTGCTGTTGTATTTAGCAAGAATATATACAGCGAAGGAAATGCGTGTATGAAGCTGTTAATCAAAAAGCCAGTTTTACCATTTCCGGCACTTTGACTATGTTGTTAATGTAAAGCAGGTTGGTCCACCAACTCTCGCGACAGAAGTTTTTCTGGGCGCCGACCACAAGATCCCACTGAGGACCCGTGTTGATTTTATGGAATAGAGTGGCGTAGAAACCGATTATCCACACGTAGACTGACGTCAATCTAATGAAAGAATAAATTATCAATAAAAGAAGCAATGATTTAAAGAGACAAAAAAAAAACAGAAATTGAAAGATCAAGTAATTTAACAATAAATAGTTTTAATTACATAATTTATCAATTTAGATAACGTCGTATAATATCTGCAGGTGTAATTTGTGCGTTTGAAAGTTCAATAGGGTCGCGAAGAAAAGTCAGTTCGGAACTGTGCACACAGAAAAATATCATTCTATTGCTAAAAAAAGTAATTACTCGGCTTACTTTTCTTTTTTTAAGTAATAATTATCTTTAATAAAGAATATTTTTTTGATAATAGTCTTAAAATATACTCATCACAAATTTTTGATAAATTCATTATCATATACTCGAAAGAAGTAATTATTTTTTGGTGAAGAATATTATAAAATTGTATCGAAGAAAAGTCAGATTTGGTTAATTTAATAAGCAAATAGAATTCTTTTTCTAATTTAATATTCTTGATTAAAGTATTAAACTTACTGGGATCAAAATATATTTTGAATAAATTTGATGCTTATAATGAACTTACGATAGATTTGCGGATATATGAACTTATAAAATACTTAAAACAGGTAATATTTACTTAAATACAGTATGTATTTTTCTGTGTGTGTGCGTACGTACCTTACGTAACGATGAACGTAAAACCATATTATATTTTTGAAATTCCACTTATTGTCAGGATTAGCTTGGTTCCTCTTGAGTTCGTTGTAAGAGAGCAGCATACCGCTCAGAAGAAGGAAAGTGTCCGTGACGATGTTCGCGTTTAGCGTTAGCATGTTGCTCCATTTGTAATGCATCTTTACGGGGGATAAAAGTGGTTTCACAATTAAGGAAAGTTAAGGCGCAGAATTTTCAGAGAGTCATGCTGTTCTAATGTAAAAGATCGATTCCATTGGTGATATAGATAAGTCGAGAATAAATGTGTCAATTGTGATTTCGTGTTAATTCCTGCAATTGCAAAAAAATTGTCAATTACTCACGTGTGGAATTTCCGAGAGGTTTATTAGGACACTAGTCCCCCATATGTAATATGAATGACCCCATATGATTTCAAATGTGCTGATACAGCGCACACCGTCTGCGGAGCTAATAGAATCACGGCTTCTCTCGGTCGACAACAGTTGCTTTACGTTCTTGCGTAAGGAGAACGACGTTAAGATATCTGCGAAAGAATCGCATTGACTTTTCTTCACAGCGCTATCGCGGTCGCTTGTTTCTTTTTCTTTTTTTAAAAATGTGTACAATAGTTAATATGTGTAGCAGCAGTTTAACACTGCATTATATATATCGTAAATTATGTAGAACAGTATCCCGATGGTAATCAATAATTAGCATTGTTTAATTCTTGAAATTAGTTTTATCCAAATTGTTACAAATAATACAATTTATTTTGTGAATTTGTGAAATTAATTTTGCAAAGTTGTTATTAATTCTTTCATTGATTTCAATTTAGCAATGTCACTAATTTTGTTACATAAAATATAGAAAAATGTAAGAAACTAAATTAAAAAGATCTGCATTGTGCTTTCGAATCATATTTTTACGTATTACTCACCGTTTAGTGTCGACGCAGTCTGATTTTGTTGTATCATATCGTACGTCGTGCCGATTACAACAAGGGTGATTGCAACCAATATCAGTAACACTCTAAAATTTTTCATTGCTGTTTGAAATAACGTACTTTTGCGGAAAAATCGATAAATGATAATAAGAGCGCGTAATTACATGTAAGAATAATCATAGACGTCCCAAGTTTTACTTTCAAGAATAGATTCCGTTGTAAAGCAGGATTCCTTGGGGACATATATTTCCATCTCTACACGTCCTTCGATTTTTAATGGATCCAATGCGAACTCTAAAGTTTCCCGTACGTCGGAATGACTGCAGGTGGACGGAACGCACCACATCAATTCGTAAAGGACTGTTTTTCCTGAGGTCCATTTCGTCGCATTCTACGGCATAAAACATTGAAATTTAGTCCTAAGCAGGGCAAAATACATCATTAAGTATTTCAAATACAAAATACAAAATACTGTCAATCTTAGTATTTTGAAGATTGATAAGTATTTTATATTTTGTATTTCAAATACCTAATGATGTATTTACCCAATCCTGGTTCTAAGTTATGCTAGACCCGCTTTTATATTTGTTAAATGAACTTTCGCTTCTCCCCCTTCCCCTCTTCTGCCCCTCTCCCCCTCCCCTTCACCCCTCCTCTCTCTCTCACTCTCTCTCGTTTACAAATCTTTCCAAAGCTGCGTGGAGCTATTACTTTACACCTTTCTATTCATCAGACAAATTGAATTAAATTCATTCATCAATTTATGCAAATAATGAAAATTTGATTAAGCATAATACAGATTAACATTAACTAAATGATAGAATATTGCACAATTTACATTTAAATATTAAATTTCATTTACTTATATCACTGCCGAAATTAATATAAATGAATAAAATTTTAGTTTTTAAATGCAAGGTTCAATAAGGATTCTCAGAATACCTAGAAAAGCTAAAATGAAGAATAATATTTATCTTCGACGTTCCATTTATTTGTGCCGGGTAATTCCGGCGTAATAATCGGGGGTTTATGCACTTGCGTACAAATAAACCATAATGACAAGAACTCACCGATGCGATCGCAACATTCACAAGAAGATCTCCTAGATCTAAATCGCGGTGTGATTGATTATTATTCGCGGTAATCTCGAATTGTATCTTCGGATAGCAAGCCTGTCCGACGAAACCGTAGTCACTCTTCACCCGTAAACATTCGTCGAAATTACCCAGCTGTTTATAATTGCCGGTGATCACGCCCCATGGTATTTTAACCGAGGCGTCGTACACTGAAACAGAAGAGAATTTTTCTTCTTTAAACGAAATTTTCTAGCGTTTGACTATCTTCAACTGTAATGTTCGTTAATTTTTCCAAAATCTTAACTAAACTAAAACTGAACTGAAACTTTTAAGGTTTTTTTCAACAACACTGTGAGGTATCGTTGCGGTTCTCGCGAGAAATCTTTTGACAATAATACAAATGATGTACCAAGTGCGCCACGCGCGCAGCGATGTAAATTTATGTTAGGTTCGAGTGCTGCGAGAGATGCGATAAAGAAGTATTAGCGAGAAAAAAGGGGTATTGTCGACTGGCTGGCGACATTCCGCTTTGTAACAATTGCCATTATCAATCCATTTGCAATATTTGATGCACCTTATTGTTAAGTTTTTCCGGCTATTAGGAACATTTAGCGTCTCGGTTGTGGCATTTAACAATAATGCCGCCCGCCTTGTTTATAATAAACACACTTTGAAACCGGTTAAAACAGGTGTAGTCGACGCGTCAAGGTGTTCTTCTGTCCTCAATCCACGCGACAATCAGCTAGCATTTTCATTCAGTTTCATTTTTTTCGCCATTTGCATCCAAATCGAAGACTAATGATCGCCAGAGATTAATCATCGATTTTCGATGAATAATCTTTAGCCGTTTGTCAAGTTCTTCGCGCTTTGTCATCGACGTTTACACGCTCTTTATCGGAGACTATGTTGTCAGTCATCCGTATGCACCGGCATTCGTGTTCGGAACGTGATTTCAAGGCGATTCCTTGGAACTCGTGATCGCGCCGTGACGCGCAGAGCAACGTCAATGTCGCGAGTACATTAGCTGCGGAAGTGCATCGCCGATATCAACGATCCGCGGAATCGGTCAATCGCCGGGAATCGCGCGTGTTATTGTGAATAGGTCGACCGACCGATTAGGACAAAAGGAAAAAAGTCGTATCAACGATCGAGTTTTTCATTTTTCGCAAGTGCGCGCGGCGCAGCGAGCGCTCTTATGCATATTACGCGATATCCGCGATAACGCCGTCATGACAACGTCAATGTCCTCAGATGACTCCGGCGCGGCGAAGTAGTGAAAAATAACTATTAATATATAGCAGCGATTTCCGTTAAGTTGTTTGTCGATGCTCTCGAAATCCGCTACTTGACTACTTTTATCCTCGTGCAACAATACGAAGGATCGCGCGAATTAGACGTGCCGACAATTGAGCGATCTACAGGGAAAGATCGATCGATCGAAGGCGAGCTCTGATGTGCAAGGACGGTCATCGGCCTCGTGGACGCATCTCGCTGACCCAGTTTGATCTTGCGCGTACGACGCATATACCAATTACATCGGTCAATATTATTGTTTTTCCCGTGAGCGTGTGCGCGGCAGATCACTGATTGCCTTTCCCTTAACAGCGCGCTGCTTTAACGCTAATCATCCGAGCACCGCGAGCGTTCGCCGGTGAGAATTAATCTTTTCGGCGCGGCCGTTTCACATAACTTCTTATGCTTTAAATGAGAAAAAATAATATTCAATAATGCAATCTCGTAAATCTCGGAAGCTCGTAATTTAATCATATTATCATTAAATTATAAATTCTTCTCATTGTATTAAAATTATATATATAATTTTGCTTTTATTAATTTATTGAAACTGAAAAATTCTAAAAATTAATCTAAATTATTAATTTATTTGTAAGAATTTGGAGAAAGTCACTGATGCGCGATACATATTGACGGAGAAATCCATTGAACATTACAAAACACTGAAAGGGGTAAAAGTGCATCAGCGTTCATATGTATATTCATTGTATATTCATTGAATGCTGCGTTTGTGCATTGACGTAAGAACGAATAACCAGTAAACATCCTTTAAATAATTATCGCGGCGAGATAAAAGCCGATATGTCGCATTGCAAAACGGCGACGATCTATTCAACGATGATCCATAACAGTCCGAGATTCATGTGCATCGACGACGACGCGTGGGTTAAACGCCTTGTAACAACTGATGCTGTCACCGATCGGCATTATGCTATTAATATCAATCAGATCAATGTCACTCTTTAATCTGTGCTAGTCCAAGTGTCACGGAGACGATATATATAATTTGTCTGCAAAAATGGATACAAGGTTCTTTCGATCGTGCGCAAATTTGGTTTCGATATTGTCTGGAACTCTCTTTTTCTTTTCTTCCTCACAAACGTCTGTAATCTGCATTCAATCAAGACAAATGAATTTCGCGATAAACAGAACAATTAAAATATAATTTGAGTCTTGAAATTGTATGTTTATTCACCTACGAATCTGAAAAGATAACTTCAAACTTTTCATTATCGTATTTTTGCGACTTATACTCATTACGGAGTACGTTGAACTCGCATATTACGAGATAAGAATCATCGTGACAATCAAGCTTTTTAATTCGCCGCATTATCTACGAGATGACGTGGAGATCGATATCTAGTAATTAGCGATATCCATAGCACGTGTACTCGCGCGATATCATACGAAACTGATAATACGCCGATAATCTCTTTTTCTCTCGATAATTATGCAATGTCCGATAATTATTGCACGTTCAAGCGCAATCGCATTCGTTTTGCACTCTCACACTGCGCGTAAGATAAAACAATACGTAAAAATTATGTAACGTTTTCCTTTTCAATGCCTTTCCCTCGTGCGCACTCGAGTTATCTTCATTCAGATAAAAAAATCGTAATTAATGTAAATTGCACATAACACATGCAATATTTTTTGAAAGGGTTATTATTAAATTCAATTTTTAGACGATAGATTCTTGAAGAGATTAAATCTTGCTTTATTTAATTGTGGAAATGTATGTTTTTGATACATTCATCAAATGCAAACGAAGATCCAACAGATCTCACAAATTTAAATTATTTTTAATCAGCTTTCTCATTTTTCTTCTTTTTATGCTAAGAAAACAATAACTTTAATTTATTTCTTGTGAAATTCATTCATTGATTAGTAATAACAATAAAATAAATGTAGATATAATTATAATTATTACATAGATGAGGGCCATCGTCTGAAATTGCATTTTATCTACAAGACGAGGGTTCAATCAAACTTGACAAATAGAAATAAGGAATGTAAAATAAAGATAATAAATTAGGTCAATGTTACTAATAAAACAGAGATAGAATCCAAGAAACACTGTGTTTGAGGATTCACTCTAGAACGCTAATCTTTTTTTTACATAATTATTTGCGTAACTACACACATTCGACGTATATATTTGAGAAAAAATTTTTTTTAAATACACAAAATCTTGTTAAAATTTTTTAATTATTTGTTTTGATAACAATTGTTTCGGTAACTGATGTGACCTTCTCTTCAATGTCTATATCACTCTCTTTACTCTTTTATTTATATCGAGATCCTTGTATTGAATATTGTAAAATTAGACTTATTTACTATATAATTATATGTGATATGTTATATAATATATATAATATTCCAAACTAATTGAAAAGTCTGATTTAAAAAACAAAACTGTTAAAAAGTAGAAATTTTTCCAGCACATGTTCGTTTCATATACGTTTCCTTAACGTAGCCTGATTTCAATACATACATACAGGGAGCGCATTCCGTTTCATGCATGATACGCATAGAAATGCTAGTAATCTATGTACGTAACATGAACTGTAGATTTTCAATATAGGATATATAAAACATGTGCTGCCTGGAAAGAAGATAAAATGTTTTGGTCCATTATCAGATGATTTTTAATTTTAGAGCATTTTTTAAATACCAAACCTAAAAAAAATCGTTGATCCTTTGTGAAAAATTCACGTTTTCACAAAGGACCAACGGTTTTTTTTAAGTTTGGTATATAAAACATGTGCTACCTGGAAAAAGATAAAATATTTTGGTCTATTGTTAGATGATTTTTAATTTTAGAGCATTTTTTAAATACCAAACCTAAAACATGTGCTACCTGGAAAAAAGATAAAATGTTTTGGTCCATTATCAGATGATTTTTAATTTTAGAGCATTTTTTTAAATACCAAACCTAAAAAAACCGTTGATTCTTTGTGAAAAATTCACGTTGATTCTTTGTGAAAAAAGGGCATTTTAATTTTAGAGGATTTTTCCTTGCTCATCGGACCTTTGTTGATTCAAGACGATGTTTTGGATAACAATAAGGCACTTTCGGAACAATACAATGAGACACATAACAATAACTGTCTATAACAATAATCTTGAGTCACATTAGAAATGCACGTGCAGGAGATGAATAAGTAATACAAAGACACAATAAATATACAAAGGCAATGAATGTATACCTAGGAATAGGTATATTTATTTTTGAAATGATCCATTGTCGGAAAAAATTCAAAAGATTTAAAAAGATTCAGGTAATTTATTCGTTATGTCTATATCTTAAAGTGACTTTCCATTGAAAATCCTATATCATAGGAAGCATCGTTGCCAGGTCAGGATATACAGCTTACTTTTCCATAGAATTCTTTGTTATTATTAGTTCGAAAAACTTTTACCAATTTCTAATAGTAGGAATTTGAAGAATTCATCGGTTTATAATAGCCACATTGTTCGTGCAGTGACATTTATTCCTATATTTTTTAAAATATATTTGAACATTTCGATCATTTTGTTAAATCATCTTTAGTGTTTCCAACATTTATTTATTACAAATCTTTATTTTAATTATTATACATAATTATCATTACGTACAATGTATTATTAATATTATATTATATATAATTTATTATTTATATATTATATATATCTATTATAATATTATATTATATATAATTTATTATTTATATATTATATATATCTAATATATATAATATATAATTTATTTATTTATTTATTTAAATCGATTTTCGTAAGCTAACGCCATCGGCTTCTTACTGAAAGCCGCCTACAGAGGGCATATATTTTACATAAGGCATAACGTAAGGGAAACAGAGCCAATCAGAGTCCTTCATTTCCGTCCTTTAAGATGGCAGTTAGAATCCCGGGAACCTCATGCATAAGACCGCGTGCGTTTTCTCATGTAGGAAATTCGTAGGAAATTCGCTTACGAAAATCGACCGAAATGTGCAAATCGTGTCTAGCACTGTTTTAAATTACTAAATTATTGAAAGTCTAAATATACGTTTTAATTAGATTAACGGCACCATCTACTAATATATATTATGTATAAAAATTAAAATAAAGATTTATAATAAATAAATTTTGGAAACACTAAAGATGATATAATGAAATAATCGAATTCAAATATATTTTAAAAACTATTGGAATAAATATCATGGCACGAACAATGTGCGTCGATCTACTTTACGTTTGAAAAATTAACGACTTATTGTACTCGTAGAAATAGAAAAACGTTATACGCAGTGCAAGCAAGTACAGCTCATTGTATAGATATAAACCTTTACAAAAGAGCGTAGGGTCATAAATTCCTTAATTAATCTTTTACAATCTTTTAGAAACATTAACGAAAAAACGAAAATTGATCACGTTACATGACAATCACATACTTAAAAATAGGCAAATATTACATAAATGTACAATTACGTTAAGTTACATTGTAGTTTACTTACTTTGAAGGGCCCAAGGAATATAAATGGCAAGGTCCTTTAAATAATAATTGCTATCGCGGATACACTCTGGTGAAGTGAGATTGTGGGATGTAAACGGTTTCATAAAAACGTCTGCTAGTATACTTTCTGGTCTTGTTCCGACAGTTCCTCCCAAATATACGAGGAATAAGAAAATTGCGTTTCGCCATTTCAATTGCGTTAATTTCATTTTTTTTAAGTTTTTTTACTTTTCTTCTTTTGCGATTTTCACTCTTCTCTGAACTGGCTATTAATACTTCGCACGTGCGTTATTGCTCTCCTCTTCAAGTAATATTACAAACTAATTTTACTAGTTTTTTATAAATTAACGACAATTGACTGTTATAGATTAATTAATTAATTACTTTTCTAGTTTTTAATTGTTTAACTCGCGTTACTATATTATCTGCGTTTCTGCAATTCTCTAGAAGCACTTCCTCAGTCGAGCACTGTACGAAGGGAAATGATACGTTTCAGGTGCCATAGCGAGCAGGTAGACAACGTAAAATCAGATACAAAAATGATCAAAGTCGTTGCACATGCGCTATACTATCGCCGGAAACACGTGTATTTTTTTGCGCGAGAACGTTAAAGCAAACGATAGAAACGCGACTGACTGTAGAACATTCTGTCAATCGTTCACTTATATATGAACGTACAGGCTGTGATGGGGGCAAAGAAGGCAATACTGAACTCCTCCGTGGCCATCTCGTGTCTCCTCTTATCGATGAAGAGAGGATTATATCCACAGAAATGAAGAAAGTGGGAAGCCACTCGGTGGTAATTCGACAGCAGGAATTCGATAACGGCAAATGGAACACACAGTGCGGAATTCTAAGAAAAAATTACCTAAAAACAAAAATTTTTAAATAAACTCTGTATAGCTTCAATTGACTAATTTAAAAATCAATAGATAGATTGCACAAAATAACAAGAAACAGTACAGTATACTGTTACTAGGCAAACATATTAATTTCGAGCATCTAGCTTATTTTTTAAATCGATTTTCTAAATAAATTTTTTTTTCCAGGAGAATCTAAGAAAAAATCGATTTGGAGAGAATCGAACATCCCTCGATTAACAAATTGTATTTTCTTAGAATTTCTTAGAATTATTTGTTTATATGCACTTCTTTAGAAGAACACGAAAGAAAATACAATTTGTTAATCGATTAGGGATGTTCGATTCCATAACGAAAATTGAGTTAACAAAGCAATACACAAGACATCATTCAAGGCTGTTTATTCGCAAGGACTCTTAAAATTTACATTGGTCAATAACTAGGCAAAAAAATGTTGAACTGTTACATGAAAATTTAGAATTTTGCATCTTTTATGTGCGACATGTGTCTATTCACTGTGCGACATTGAAAGAGAATTTGTGAGAACTTGTGAATGGATTATCGCACGCAATGAACAGCTGAGCGAAGATATTATAAATATTAGAGCCCAGACGAGATAAGAAACGTAACATCTATCACCCCCTCCCCCCTTTCTTCGCTCCCTCTCGATTATATTTGATCGATTTATTACAAAAAATCATAATTTTTTATGGAATTAAATTAAATTATATTAAATGAGAAATAAAATAATTAGAGAAAAATAGAATGCAACGGGAAATCAAATTAGACTGGAATAAAATAATAGACTAAAAAAGCTAATTTTTTATTAAATTAAATTGAATTATTTTTTACGTTAAAGTTGATATGAATTTTTATCCCTTACAACTTAATTAACTATTATATTTATTAACCAATATTTAAAATTTAAATTCAAAAATAATTATTAACATATTATATTGAAAATGTTTCAGCATAAGCATTTTTTTAGAACTTAAACTATAAGAAATAGTTTGATAGGAATAAACTATGACAAATAAAGTTCAATTTTAGTAGTTTGAACTTAATTTTATCGCGGGAGTGTAATAAAATAATTTTATAAAAGTTTTCAATGTTGAAGAAATAAAAAAATAACATTATCTTTTATCAGTATGTATTTACTTACTTCTCAGTTTTATGAAAAGAGAATTCTTTTGCCAGTAATATGTCATAATAAAAATTCTAACATTTTTTTACTAATTCTAACAACAAAATTTGAGATTGGACGGGATTTATTTACGTATCAATAACTTTATTGACTTGAAATCTTTAATTCTCTTCAATTTGTTAGCGTGCATACGACTTTATAACTCGTGGTTTTCAACTCGGGATATCATTAAAAACGATATGAGATGAATACACATCCAAATCGTTAAATTTTAATCATTATCATGCACACGTTTTGAATTTTGTGGATATCAATCTCGATATCAATCAAGAAGACATCATTTGACCAAAAACTACTGCAACAGTTGGTTATTTTTAGTCACATGATGTCTAATGTTGAAATTGAGCGTCAAAGTAAAAAGGCATCTTTAGAGGAAAAGAGCAAATTTTTTTTCTCTCTCTCTCTCTCCCTTTCTCTTTCTAACTTCTAACTGTATATTTTAATATATTCATCAAAGTGATATTATAGGAAAAATACAAGATCGATATAGGAATTCGGTTTTCCATTAAGTCAAATAATAACAACAATAATTTTTCCCAAAACACTAATGTTATTATAAACTAAATTAATATAAATTGATTATTTATACACTGTATTAAATAAAAATTATAAAATCAAATTAATTTTTTGCGAAAGATTATTATAAAGGACCATTCAAAATCAAGAGATAAAAAGTGCAGGCAAATTTCGAAGAAAGTGTTTTATTTAATATTCTTTTGACTAATTAAATAGATTTAAGTATTATTTGTGACGTTCGAAACAAAATGTTTAAAAGTTTTATCACATAATGGTCATGTTTTTCGATAAATAATCATTATTTCTTATGATATAAAAGAAACGTATTTTAGGAATAGAATACGATAAAAAATTTTAAAAAAGTAACAATACTCTTAGATTAGATCCATTAGGTAACAAATCTTTTAACTTCCAAAATAAACTTCCTTTTTTATCTAAAAATTAAAGTAAGGACGTTAAGGATATAAAAACACAAAGAGTCATCGAGAATGATTCAAGAAGTTTTAAATGAAGAAACCCGCTGCTTCTCCACGCGTCTATAATTTTTGTAAGAATTATAATGCGAAATTAATCGCAGCAACGATTACGATTTATTTGCTCTATCAGTCACTGTTCCGCCGATCTGAAATGAATGTGTAGCCGTCAAAGATTATACATAGAAGGCAACTGTTGTGCATTCAACTCGGCTAAGGATTCTTTAATCTCATTTATTTGCGCTAAATATGCATATGTTCAGGTCAAGGCCAGTATTGGATATCATAATCGATAGAAATGAAGTGTCCGATATCGCTGAGTTGCACGAGTAACATTTTGAAAGTTATCCAGCCACGATTGCATCGTTTCTTTTCACATCGTTTCTTCTCGTTTCTTGCGCATTCTTAACATCTCATTAAAAATTCACACATTGCTGATATATAGAATTTTGTATATTAATTATTTTGTCTCATCAATTTAGAATTAGAATTTTGCTTTGATTTTCAACAATAATAATAATAATTTATTAATATATGATGCATTAAAATAGAGAAAGAAAGAGAGTTAATTGTGCAAGTAATCGTTGCGCTAAACAAGAGGAAACTAATCTCTGTCTAGTTTTTGTTTTTACATGTATTACACTTATCATATATTTAAATTTCGTCGATTAAAAATTACTGTGTTTTATTTAAATATTCAAATCAAATCTTGATAGTATATAATTTTTTTATTTACTGCTATAATTGAGATAAGCACAAGTGACAAGCGCGGTTTAAAAACGGCAAAACGCAGATATCTTATCTAGTACCAAAAAAGTACACGAAATCTTAAAATCCCGTTTCGAGGCCCGGTGGAATTTCTCGTGTAGTTGCGTCGTATGATTTTCTACCGGCATCGATTCGTGAAGAAATTCGCCCCCGGCTGCTGTAAATGTAGTCCCTTCTACGTAATACGCGATTCGGGACATTGACTTGAGTATTCGACTTTCTCGACTCTGTAGTAAAAAAAAATATAACGCGAACGTATGCCTTTCGTGAGGCCCAAATCGAAGAGGCAGCATCCGAACAGCCGAGGAACATTTGGCTGCAAACCGCACTTGCAAAGTTCGGAGAGACACAGAGCGATTCAATCATTCAACGCACGAATGTTACATTATGTTTGCCGCGATAACAAATATTACTGCAATCTCGTTTGCACAGATTATATACATAAAATACTTACCTCTTGGATTTGCCCATTATCTTCCGCATCGAATGAAAGCTGTATCAATGTCACCTCTCTGACCGATTATAAGAGGGCATTAAACGTCTATTTATCTGTCACCTTTAACGCACTGCAATCAGTTCTCTCAAATACTTCTCGTCCTTGTTATTGTTTTTTTCACAAATTCTAAACCAGCGCGATAAGACTAGAGAGGCTACAATCGAGTTTATTCACCTTGGGGTAAAGAAAGAGGTGCGAATAATAATAGCTTTGTTGATAAATTCTGTATAAAGGCGTTATTATCGGTCATTTCATGATTTATCATTGATGTCATCGATTTGAAAATCGAATTCTGAGATTCGGATTTTATTTAATGATTGATTACGGATAAAATTATTCATTATCAAAATGCTTAATTGCTGATGCAGCTGTGTAAATAACATTCTTCGCATGAGATTCACTCCGGAATTGATAATGTAAAAATATGTTTTTTTTTTCGGAAATGTTGGGTATCTAATGACATCACACTATCTTTCTGTAGTTAAAGACGACAAACAGGAAATCTGATATGAAAAACTTGGATATATTAATTATGAATATATGTATTTCTTTTTTAATTTGTATAAATTAAAAATACACAATACATCTGTTTCATATATTCTTCTTCCGTATTTTCTCGCATTAGTATATAATTTTTCTAACAATTATTATAAATTCTCACCTAGTATAGTTCAATAATGAAAACTCGCCGCTTGAACAATTATTCTATAAATATACAAGCCACGGAATCGCACGCCAACGCTTTATATAACATTGTATCAAAGAATTTTGTATCACGGATCGCGATTAGCACAGTTCTGGCAGGATATTTACAGCATTCCAATTGTTATACTGTTGCTACTGCATTTGCATTATATTATTGTACATTGGAATGTTCGGCCAATACATATGTATGTTGCAAAATGATAAGTACAAAGATTAAAAATAAAATGACGATATCAATATTGAAACTAGATCAATTAAAATCTGTCTTATTCCGAATAAAAAATCCAATCCTACAAAACAAAAATGTTACTCTTAAAAGTATCTATATTAGAGGATAAAAAAACATCATGTTGCTAAGTAAATAAGATAAGATGTGTTAAAATTCATTTTAGAATAGTTTCAGAGAAATGTTAGGGCCATTATTATTACCATCCCATTTTAGGAAGAAATTCTGCTACATCTTGAAACACCTCTTCCGGTGTTTTCATAGAATTAACTTTATAAACTAAGCCCTCTTTCTCATACATTTCTATTATTGGTAATGTATTTTTTAGATAGGTCTGATGACGAAATACCAGTGACTGTTCGTTATCATCACTACGGCCACTTCCACTGGCGCCACGTTTCAGACAGCGTTGAGTACAGACTTCCTGGCTACACTCACAGAATATTACGCCTTTGAAGATCACCTTGTCAGCCATCACCTGTCAATACATGAAATACTTAATCTACTAAATGCGTGCAAGATCTAAACTTCAGGGTCAACATTTGGTTATCAAAGAAGTGAGTATAATTTTAAAGTGCATGGAAATATTATGTGCATTTTTTACTTAACTATAATTTTAATTTTAACATAATCATTGCAAGTTCTAAATGGTAAAATTAAAAAATTAAATTCAACATTATCACATTTCCTTAAACATTTATTGCATCATTTTGCCAATGTCTATTCAAAACACGATATTATTCTGCCTTTATTAAGCCTCTAAATGTTATATAATCATTCTAGCCACAAGGAATAAGTTTTCAATGATACAAACAGAATTCTCACAACAATTTATCTACTATTTTTAATATAATGCAAATTAAATGTATCAAATTTTCAGAAATGCCCGAAGGTACCTTATTCCAGCCTTCGAGGTTATCTTGATTTCTGGGAAAGCCATCGATGAGAAAGCGATTATGCGGATTATCTGAAATCTGCATAGCGCGATCGATGAGATTGCAGGTGATCTCGACGGGGACAATAGTGCCATTCTTGATATGCGTCTCGATGAGTTCGCCGTATTGCGAGCCGGGCTTAGCACGTTCCTCGCGCAGTAGATCACCTGCTGACAGATGAACATAACCGTAACGATCGATAATGTAACGACAGAGTGTACCCTTGCCGGCGCCCGGGCCACCCAAGATGAACACCACCTCCGGCTTTTTCGTAACAGTAGACATCGCGTGAATACAACGTCGCGCACCGGCCGCAAAAGCACACAGCATATACATAAAATTTACGCACACGTCGATCAATTGGATTCCCTCTACCACATGGTGTCCACGCTGGCGCCATTTTTAAAAGGCAAAGCACGCACTTGAGTGTTCTTCATAAAACAACTGATAAAATTCAACGGTGCTGTAACAGCAGAAATAGATTTTCGTTGTACTCCATTAGCATTTTATAAATTTTGTTAAAAAAAAAAAGAATATATTTTGTAATTACATGTTGCTTTTCAGTCTTCAATATTTTCGCATAAATATCTGAGTAACGGGCGCCATCTAGCATGAATAAATTGATATCAATGGAGAAAAGAGCAGACAATATTATGTAATGTAACGCAACCCGTACAGTATGAGTGACAATCAACGTGTAGCATGTAAATAGTGTTGTAACAAACCGGAAAAGTCGAAATATGAAGTAATAATGACTTGTATTAAACCTACTATGTGATATTAGAAGTACCGTTTATTTCGTAAACTATTCATTATTGTAGACTTGTCTTTGAGTTCGGTTGAGTTTGGTTGTAAAATATATAACCTTGATGGTGGTGTAGTGGCAGTTATTTCTTAAAAAAGAAAATTAATTAAATATACATCTTACAAATTTAACTTTGCATTAAGTAATCTTCATGGTGATTTGAAATTAATAGCTAAATTGGTTTGATTAAGAATAGATTGTGCATTTCTGAGGTTATGTCGTATAACCGTATACTTGACCGATGATTCGTTCTTTTTATATATTTGTTATGTTTTTTCGACTTAATAATTTATTACGAGATTAAAATATTTTTTATTGAATAAAGAGACGATAATATGAAATCATGATGACAATTTTCTAACTCATTGACAAGAGGTGTAATTTGTACAGCAATAATAATTATTTATTAATTATTTTTCTTTCTGATATTGTTACAGGTAAAAAATTCAAAAATGCTGATTATGAGAAGATGCCACCATATCAGTGGTTTTGTTAATTTATTCTCACATAAGTTATGTTCCAATTTCACAATATTAAAATGCACTACCTTAAAATTTCGGCCATTTGGAGAGATTCGTACTTTATCCACAATACATGATAAGTACAAGTATAAAATAGATCTGAGAGCACATAAGGTTCTTCACACTTTGTCAAGGACAAAAGATACATTACCTCATATCAAATTAGTAGATTTGCGACAGAAAAGATGCTTGAGCATTGCAGCAAAACTAGTCAATAATGTCTCGCCCAAAGTACAACCATATATGAAACTGATGAGGATAGACAAACCAATAGGTAAAACTTAATTATTCAAATAATTAGTTGTCACTTACAATTAATGTACATATTTCATGTATCTTAATATCTTTTTTTTTCATTAGGGAGTTGGTTATTATTTTGGCCCTGTGGATGGAGTATTGCCATGGCAGCACCTGCTGGTGCTTTACCAGATCTCTATATGTTAGCGCTTTTTGGTACAGGAGCGTTTATAATGCGTGGCGCAGGATGTACCATAAACGATATGTGGGATCAAAAAATCGATAAGATGGTAAAAATCTTTATAGCAGTATCCTAACTTTGCGTCGCAAATATTGCAGAAGTCTTATGTTATTAGGTAGCCAGAACAAGGGACAGGCCTTTGGTAACTGGTCAAATAACACAAAAGCAGTCGGTAATATTTCTTGCTGGACAGTTGAGTTTAGGATTGCTTATATTATTGCAATTGAATTGGTATAGTATATTTCTCGGTGCCAGTTCTCTAGGTACTAAATAATATATTTGAAATTTATATACCTAAGTGGGATAAAATTAAAATATTATATTTTACGTGACTTTTTCAGGTTTAGTAATAATTTATCCTCTTATGAAAAGAATAACGCACTGGCCACAGTTGATTCTAGGAATGACTTTTAACTGGGGTGCGTTTTTAGGATGGTCTGCTGTACACGGATCGTGTGATTTATCCATCTGTTTACCACTTTATATAGGCGGTATTTGTTGGACTGTTCTGTACGATACGATATATGCTCATCAAGTGAGTACAAAAGTTTAATAACTTTTTATGTTTTTTACGTTATACTTCAATCTTTTATATGTTAGGACAAGATAGATGATATTTTGTTGGGTATGAAATCCACCGCTATAAAATTTGGAGACAACACAAAATACTACTTATCTGGATTTGGCACGGTAATGATGATAAGTTTAATTACCTCTGGTATATTGACCACACAAACTTGGCCTTATTATACTGCGGTTGGATTAATTGCAGCACATATTAGCAACCAGGTAAATATTATAAATTATTAAGTAAATTTAAAATTATCGCATTTCAATAAAATAATTTGTCTTCTAGATCTACTCTTTGAACATAAACAATCCGAATGATTGTGCCAAAAAATTCATATCTAATCACAGAGTAGGTATGATATTATTCGCTGGTATTGTGTTGGGAAATTTGATAAAAACATCGCTCACAAAAAAACAAAACCAAGAAAACGAAGTTGAAGAAGAAGAAAAGTACCCAACTGCTGTACTAGATAAAAATAAAAGAGATTTGTAATTAGCCAAAATTAGTAGTGTATACTTAAATTATAAATTAAGTGAAGCAAAAAAACAGGTATTGATAAAAACTTAAATTCATACGTTACATACGAGTTTTAAATTATTATAATGTGAAAAAGTTTTACATCTATTTTTTTAATGCACTATACAAAAATTAAAATTGATCAATTCTATGGTTAATCAGTCACTTTTCTAGTAGTGGTTTGTTTAACAGTATTAATTACTTCTTTTATAGAAATAGAAAACAAGAGTTCCTCAAAGTTAAATGGAATACAGAATCAATATTAAAAATAGATGAAATGTAAATAATTGTGTCATTTTCAATATAAAAGATTAATTTTTATTGACAATATAATGATGCCGATGACGATTGTATAGAAAATTATAACAAACTTTAGGAACAATAAGAAATTAGAATATGTAAAAAATCATCAAATTTGTGACAAATATTTTTATGCGACATCTTAATTTTTCAATTATAATAGTTGTATGCAATTTTTTATATTTGTTCTTACAAGTATTTTTAACTAAATTATTTTCAGATTTTTTTTATATGTTACTGTCTTTTCTCTCTTTAATAAGTTCAACATATTGTTCTTCTGTCAATAAAGATTGTTTTAAACTCTCGAGAAGTTTTATATTTGGTAATATTATAGCCAAGTATCCACCTTTGTGTGGCAGTTGCCTGAGAAGCTGTGGGTTTTCCGATAACATCTCATTAACTTCAATTAATTTTCCTATCATACAGCATTTTATCACATATGTGTGTCCATCTGTGCAGGATATGGTACAAATATTAGAGTTAGCTTGTAACGGTTGTGCTCCATGTTTACCCTTTCCCGAAACTTTATTCAAAGATCTATCTACTTTATCGCTGATCTTAAAGTCGACCTTCTTGATCTCTTTATCGTCTGTCAAAGCAACATGACTAGGTGCCAAAGATAGCATACAAATACGATTGCTATGTATTCGTATGCAAATGTCATCTCCAAGTGACTGCACATTAATTTTGTAATAGGGAGTAAAATAACGATCAGTAACTGTGGGCAAATGATCATTATACTGCACTTCATCTAGCATGTCCGAAACATCATCATCAGGAGGAAATGTAAATGACTCATCATCGCTAACTACAGATGTTTCATCATCGCTGTTTGATAATCTTTTGTTACTTTCTTGCATCTTATCAGGGAAATTATTTTTTCCTTCTTCCTTGTGTGATTTCTGACTATCATTCTCAACTTTTAAACGTTTGACTTCTGGCTCATTGATCTCTGATATCAAATTCATATTGAATTCTATTCAACTTATCCAATGCACAATTTAAATCAGTATAAATGTAGCATATAACGATACAAAAAGTAATTCTAACTCTCCTCTACACTTCAACAATTATTAATAATTATATTATCAGCGTATTTCAATGTACAAGATTAATTATTACTCTCTTGTTGTGCCGCTTTTACACTTTCTAATCTTTTTTGCCCAAAACGTGTATTCTGTTTCCTACGAATTTCTCTCTGTAACAAATAAACACGAAATTCATGATAAATTAATGACAAAAATAAAAAATGACTTACTTGTTCTTTTATACATGTAATCATCTCCCTTTCGATGTGTTCGCAGTATCCCAAAAATCTTCGATACGGATGCTGCAACACAGACAGATTGAGAAACGCGCAGGAGTTAAGGTGCTCGGCAAAACTTTCGAACAAGTTTTTTCATTACCTCCTTTTCACAATCCTGAAATCGGTAAAATATCCAGTTACATGCAGCATTGTGCGCGGCTAACGATCTGTAATTCATTTTTCTAAATCATGTATTAGATTACATGTACGCAAATTACATATTACGCAATAGTGCAAAGAATCGCCTGCCGGTACGTCACTGTCAAGTCAATAATTATTTATATTACAAATAATTATATAATGAAGTCACTGCGAATAAATTTATTGGCAAGTTCGATTAAAACATTGCATTTTTCATTAACACGAGCAAGAAGTTTCGCGTGTAAACATTACGGAGAAATCACATTGCATCCGACGTTTGATGTACGAGATGCAGGTATCCAATAGGAAAACGTTTTAGGGATTTTCTCTAAAGCTACATTCACATACTTAAATAAATTTAGCTGTGCAATTGCTCAATGAAAATGTAACCATAATTCGCTAGAATTCCTAGAAGTAGAATTCTAGGTTATTTTCTTATAGCCCGCCACACTTGCGCGACGTCACATCCGGCGATTGCCGGGAATAGCCGGCATATCAGTCGGATTTGGCGCTCCCGTCGCGCTCGTACCGGGATTACACAAACCCCGTCTGCGTTTGGCGCCTTCCGCCGTCTCTCGAATGCAGTGAGCGTCGGTGTGCCTAAAATGGCGGACGGTGACATTGATTTGTACGCCGATGATCTCGAGCAAGATTTCGCGCAGGTAATTCGCACTTCTCTTTGATAATAATAAAGGGACTGGGGCGTGCTTTCTTTCTCTCTCCTCCGTATAGTTGAAAGAAAAATAGAAACGCATCGCGTCATATAATCACGCCCTGCGACTTAAAGTCTCGAACGTGAGGAGCACCGCTTCCGACGCGACGCGCCGCACCGCGCCGTGCCGTGCCGTGCCGTATCGCGACAGTGAACGACAAGACGATTATTGTTCCGCATCGATTCTGTACGGGTCCGAAGCTGAGTGTGTCGGGATTTTAGTGGACGGACGACTGCTACTAACAATCGGCCCGCGTCACCGTTCTCTCCCCGTGAACATTATTGTGTATCTATACTGGCATTCGCTCCGAACCGGCGAGCAACCCTGAACAAGCGTGCGCGCGCGCGCGCGAGCGACGAGCATATACATACAAGACGAGCTTCGGTCCGAAGTTGTTACCGCTTTTCGTTGTTACCGCGCGTTTAATCTGATCGCCTGTCTAGAGCTAGTGTCTGCTGCTGTCGGTCACGCGCGCGTTTCTGTTGCCGGAGCTAAGCGCTAGCGCGAAACAGTAATACGGGTTCGCAGCAGGAATTGACCAAAATGGTGCTAGCGGTAAGGCGAATGTCGTGTAGTTTACTCTTCTCACATCCTCGTCCTTTTTTCTGGACTCTTATGATTTTAACCCACCCATTTATCTACACACACATACACACATATATACACGCACAAGACATATACACATATACAAAATCCGTTGCACAGCACTGCATGTGAGACGTTTTCTTTTGTTATTTCCTTTCTTTTACTATTCTCTTTTTTTTTTAAATATTTTTTTCCTTGCGAGAAAATGCCATCGTTAGAATTTTTTTTGCAGGGATTGAAACTAGTATAATTTCGTCCAAGGCAATTTTCAAGGCTATAGATGTAAAATGTTGAATTGAATTTCTGAGTTTAATAATTTCTAGACGCAAGATAAGATTGTTTATAATTTTTAAGTCGGAATAATTTGGAATTAGATGGCATTTACAGTTTAAATTTAGATCTGAATGTTTTTAGCTATTTCTTTTAAACAAATATTTATATTTATTACAGTTTATATAAAATAAATATATTTTTAAAAAATACAGAGGGTCATTATAGATAACCTTATTATTTTTGCAGTTAAAGTTTGAATTCTATTGAAATTATATTGACTTCAATCCTCGCTTTACTGTCTCT